CAAATAAATAAGAAACGTAGAACGTTTATTAGCAAAACGAATGTCAAATAAAATAAATAAATGACACCGTTTAAATAGTTAAAAACCGCAAACAATGTGGAACCAATTAAATAAGAAACTAATGTTTAAAAAAACTTCCAAAATCACCTTAGATAAACTGCAAAAGTCAACAGGCTTTTCAAAATCCAAAATATTGCCAAACAGGCGCTTTTGCATCTAGTTTCGAAACTAAATCATCCGCGATCGTCTTGTCTGTCTCACCTCACTCTTCTTGTCAGTCAGCTCGACTCACTCTCCTCATTGGAGAAATGAAATCTGAACTGTGGGATGCGATGGTCGTTCGGCACGCTGCATTGAGTAGCCGCGTTCAGTTTTTAATTGTAGTGTCTGTTCTTTTACTGAACTAAATGATTTTTATTACTATAAGAAATCAAAAAGACGGTGGGGGTCGGTGACGCGGTGGGCAAGTGATGTAACCGGTGTTGTGTGGACGAAAATGCCTTGTTGATGTCAGAGGTCAGAGGAGAATGGGCAGACTGGGTAGAGATGATAGAAAAGCAACAGTAACTCAAATAACCGTTACATAACTCGTTACAACCAAGGTATGCAGAATACCATCTCTGAACACACAACACGTCAAACCCTAAAGCAGATGGGCTACAGCAGCAGAAGACCACACCGGGTGCCGCTCCTGTCAGCTAAGAACAGGAAACGGAGGCTACAATTCGCACAGACTCACCAAAATTGGACAATAGAAGATTGGAAAAACGTTGCCTGGTCTGATGAGTCTCGATTTCTGCTGCGACATTCAGATGGTAGGGTCAGAATTTGTCATAAAGAACATGAAAGCATGGATCCATCCTGCCTTGTCTCAACGGTTCAGGCTGGTGGTGGTGTAATGGGGGATATTTTCTTGGCACACTTTGGGCAGTCACCAGATCTCAATCCAAGAGAGCACCTTCGGGATGTGGTGAAACCGTAGATTCGCATCATGGATGTGCAGCCGACAAATCTGCAGCAACTGCGTGATGCTATCATGCCAATATGGACCAAAATATCTGAGGAATGTTTCCAACACCTTGTTGAATCTATGCCACGAAGAATTAAGGCAGTTCTGAAGGCAAAAGGGGGTCCAACCCGGTACTAGCAAGGTGTACTCCCGTTCCGGAAAAACGGACCCAAATCTTTATAGAGCTTCATCTGCATGCCATAACCGACAGTGTGCTGCTCTGATAATCTAGGTGGGATGAATGGCACCTATCTTTATCAGTCTAGCGTGGTGGCATCGAGGGGTCTGTGCTGTGTTTGTAACATGAACCCGAGGAGGAGCTCGTGTGGCTTGAGTGCGATGCCAAGGAATCAGGTTTACAACAAGCTTCTGTTGTGCCCCCCATGCACAGTAATCTGTCCTAATCTCTGCCTGCCTGGCCTTTTGTCTTGGTCAATCTCTGTTAGCTCAGTGTAATGTGATTTCACACACACACACACAAACAAACAGACTTGCGTTGGGTCGGTGAGCGTCTGCTGGTTCGCAGCATGACAAAGAAGTATATCGTGTGCCCTATAGACTAAGGGCTCATGTTGTCTAGATTAAATGTGTGTGGATACAGAACGGATGGAATCATTTTCGCTGTTTCTGCCTCCCCTCCTCCACCTTTCTATTCCTAGTCTTCGTCTGCCCTCTAAAGGCTAAGGGGCGGCTTGCTTTGCTCTGACTGATGTGTGGTTTACATGCATGTTAGCAGCAGCAGCTCGTCTGTGGTGGAGGTGTAAATATCTGCGAGGGCTGAATCCCCCCGCGTTGTTGTCGCCTGTACGAGGGGCATAATTACCATCGCTGGCATTTAATCCCCCCCCAGGTGTTTTATTTATCTGCCGAGCAAAGTATCTGACACATCACACCAATACCTGGACTGACTTCAATCGTTCGACATGACTAATGCGCCAGCGTTGTCTTAAAACCCCAGACTGACCACTCCAGCGGCTGCGTGTGCGTCTGCATGGCTAAGCGCTGACAGATGAGTGTTTCATGGGCCATTGTGAAGAAAGGCTTGTGGCTGATCGTGCCGTCCTGAAGGAGGGAGATCTGCCCGTAGCTCGCATTCAGCAGCAGTCGCTGGCGAGCTCACATTCACGCGGGCGGTCGGGAAAGCAGGGCCCCGTCTCAGCCTTCGTCACATTCCAGGTTTCGGCCTGTCAGGTATTTGACAGTTCTGCTGCGGGACCGGCGTTAAAAAAAGCGTGCTACCTGATTCAGATGATGGGCGTATTCTCTACAAGGAAGATTCTTCAACAAACTAGTGGAGAATTGTGTGCTTCAATGATTGAGGCTTATTTATTTAAAGTCTGTTTTTTTTTTGTATCATGTGTTAGTGAAGACCATGGTTTAAACAGTAAAATTGTGGTAAAATCATTGCTTAAACACTCTCGTCATGTTCTAACATGGTTTTTATAAATGCTTTTTGAATACCAATGCTTTATTGTCATCATTAGATTACGGTATGGTGGCATGGTACTTACAGTGCGAAATGAACTTGCACTTGAGCATGACTTAGTGTGTGCGCCCGTTTTGGTACTAATGAAAAAGATGTTTGAAAGTCTAGTGTGTTGTGAAGGATGCGAGTGTTCCCCTTCACCTGTACAGGAGAGAAAAAACTACTTTTCAGAGCTCAGGCACCATTTAACCGTGCATAAAACATGGCCTTCTCTCTGTCCAATTTTTATCAGAGTTGTAGAACATCAAGCAAGGGGAAGCTGGAGGCAATCCAAGGCCTCTGCCTGCAACAAAGAATAGACATTTGCAGTTTTATTGAATTGTCACTGTATTCCTTTTATTGAAAGGAAAACGGCGTTTTCTTCCTGTCAAACAACAACACTGTTTTCCCTAAAGCCAGAAACGTGCACACTGAATACATCTGTCAAGGATTCAGAGAGGTGCACACTGACCTTAAACTTGTGTAGTTCTTGCTTGAGCTCTGGGCAAGGTCTCATCCGTGGGGTGGGGTGGGGGGGGGGGGTCACGGTGATGACCTGTTATGAAGAAATTTGTTGTTCTTCGCCTCGATTCGGTCTCATGGACTTACTGTCGTCTTCAGCTCGTTGACCTCAGCAATTGCTCTGACCCCGGATTTTGAAAACCCACTTTTTTACCAAAGTATACCAGGAGTTGTCTGTCAGCATAAGCAGGTTTTCCTATCAAATTAAAGAGACTGTGATGGTATCACATTTACATCGCACGCTTCTATCCAAACCAGCTTACATTTATATATGTATTTTATCAGTTCATGTATTCCCTGAGCACAGAACCCAGGACTTTGATGTTGATTATTTTATTATACAATTTGTGCTTTCACAGATCAGCAATCAAAAGATTTCATTTGAAATAGATTGACCAAAAAGATGTAAAAGAGAACAGAGGCAAGAAGATTTTTTTTTTTGTGGCCCTGTCTGTAGTAATTCTGTGATTATAAAGCAGCATCTTTTTTTCCTTTTTTTTTTTCTTGCACTTGTGCACATAATGATCCTGTCTTTTGATAGTGGGATTTCATCTGAGTATCAACAGCGAGCGGAAAGCACGGCAAAGCTTTTAAGAGAGGTGCAGAGTTGTATGAGCTTTAGCAGAACGGCTGCCACATTAGCACAGAGGTTTAAGAGTCAAGTATCATCGAGAGCAGTTTGCCATAGAAATGGGGAGATCTAAATGCAAACAAAGAGCGCACTTGACACGGCTGGCGTTTGCTAAGCCAAGAGCGAGTGTTCATGGGCTTTACCTTCAGCCACACTAAAGCCACTTTAACTGCAGGCACAAAAAAAGAGAAAACGTCATTTAACCAATTCATATATGGGCATCTAGAAACTCTGTCGTGAAAAGCAAACATCGATGAGAAGTGTATTATTGCGAAGAGCTGAAACTGATTTTTTTTTTCCAGTTAATTTAAGTTTTTTTTCCTGCTAAATTTTTTATACTCTAGTGCCAGTGAATGGTTGAGCCCACACTAATAGAAAAACACTGAAAAGTACCATATACCTTTTTTTTTGGCCATATATCATGGTATTCCCTTTGAGTACTAAGGTGATACCATGGTACATGAATATAGTAATCATTTAGTACCATGAGACATCTTCGCCACAGTACACTTTTAAAAAAGAGCACGCTCATGCTAATCTTGTAAGATGTTTTTACTTTAAATATGTGCAAAAATAATTTATTCCAATAAGCACAATGTCCTAACTGTGATGCTAGTCTGTGGCTCAACATTAGACTAATAGTGCCTGGAAAATCTCTTCCTCCTCCTCACAGAGCTGTGTTGTTTATTTGTCCAGCTTTATTTGATACAAAAAAAAAACTGACGGTGTGTTTAATAAATTAAAATAATTCAGCAGATTGGATTTTCACATTGAACAATGATGACTCGGTTTGCTGACTTTAGCTGGAAAATGACTCTTTATTGTCCTCTTGCATTATTGGCAAACTCTTTTCCTGTTTGACACTGTAAAGCTGCTTTGACACAATCGGTGTTGTATAAAGAGCTATATAAATAAAGGTGACTTGACTTTGCTGTTGACTTTACCCATTGCTAATTGTATTGATGTGATATCAGTCACCTAAACATGATATATTTACCAAAATCTAACTAGCCCTACCCTGCTGAAAAACAACAGATAATTCAGCCTAAGATGTTTGCTAATGGTATAACACGGTCTAGCTATAGGCTCATATGATGGTCTCCCAGCCTGACCAACTGACAAGTGTCCAAAATCCCCCTAAAACCACCAAACCAGACCAACTTGACCCCGTTGGGAGACCAGCAAGCCATCCTAAGCAGGTTTAAGCTATTTTAAGTAGTGTAATCCTCATCTTAACTACATCTGATTATCTCAAATGGTCAATGTTGTTATAAGCCTGTAAAGTATTTTTTGTTCTTTTCCAGGCTCTCCTCTTCTAAAGTTGCGTGACAGTGAAGGTCAAACCCCTCTGGACCTGGTTTCTTTCGAGGCTCTACGTGAGGAGCTCCTTCGCTGTGCAGAAGAAGGTGACAAAGCTCTTGCAGCTCCCTGCTTGGAGGTTCGGGATCTGCCCTTCATAGAGTCCTGCTCATGGGTGCTCAGCTGCCTGTTCCTCACGTACCTCCAAGAGCGACACGTACCTACCTACAAAACCCCACTTACACCTCTGGACCTCAGTCCCACTGTATGCCGCAGCTTGATCCGTCTCCATTCAGATGAGCTAGCCTCCAACTGGGGAGATTCCCGTGCGGTGACCCTGGCTGAGGACCTGAGGACTGTGTTGAGTTTGGAGCAGTATGTGTCACAAGTGAGCCCCGCACTGAGACGCTGTCATGGGGATCAAACCAGGCTGTTTGTGCAGCTGCTTGATGATCTGCAGGCGGAGGGGGCGGCACTGATCTCTGGACAATCTGATTTTGATTAGTTCTAAAAGAGTCTCTATAGAGGAACAAGAAGAAATGGGCATCTATCTGTAGACCCGTGGTAAAGCTCTGCCTTTTGTTAAACTACTAGTAAAATGTGTTTCCTGGTCCAATCAGTGAGTTCTGAATGGATACAAATAAGAATTAATATCACCCAGACTGCATAGGACTCATACTGTAGTGATTGTGCACTTTTTATGCTTTGATTTTTGGTTGAAATTATTAAAATATGGGGATTATTGTGTGTACAAAATATTTTTGTTAAACACTAGAAATCATTTTTGAATGTTATTTTTACAACAAGCTGAAAAATATTTTATAGAAACTGTTTTTCTTAAGAATTTAATTCCTAATATTTCTTGAATTGTAAAAAAAATAAAAAGAAAAGAAAGATTTTTCACATCCATTCATAAGTGTGGACACACCTGGGCACTTATTATTATTATTATTATTATTATTATAGCTATTTTCCACATTTGACTCGTCAAACTATGAATTAACACAAATGGGTGCAAGAAATGTATAGAGTTCAAGCAAATGTTAAATCAGAACTGGCGATACTAATTCTTGTCTTGATTGCAGCTCAGCACACTTTGGACCTTAGCCTGGGAAAATTGTTAAATAGATTTCACATAAATATTAGACACTTGGGCTGATTTTCTGAGTCTTATCTGGTCCAACTCATTCAAAAAAGTTGTACGGAAATGTATAGAAATTCATTTGAGAAGATCACGAGAAATAACTTTTCACTTGCAGCGTGTGTAATTTGCAGTCGTTTAGATGACAATACTCCTCCATGCCTTTGTTCCAAATCAACAAACCTAACTTTAGTTGAAGCCCAGCCCATAAGACATCGCTTCACAGTTCTCTGATCCAGGATGATGGAGGGAACTCATATGTGTGCCATGTGGGGTTAATAATCAATCCCCTCCAAACAACTGATTCCAGTACAAAAGCAAGAAATCTATCCAAGACCTCCATGAAGAATGAACCGTTTCCTGATCATGCCCTTTTCAACTACAATGCAGCCTCCGGAGGTGACGAGGGATCATGGAGTCCAGGTTTGGGATTAGAACCCAAGACGCTGCGGATGGTCTGAGCCAGACAGCCCAAGAGCGATGGAGAATGCTGAGGTTAATAAATAAGCTCAAGTGTTTTTGCTTTCAGCTAGGCCATGAATATTAGCGTCTGGGAGAGCGGCCGTTTGTACTGGATCATGCCGTGTGATGATACGGTGTCATATTGAATAACAGCAGGGATCAGACAGGCAAGAAACAGCCAGACTAACAAATGATGGGAGGCCACAGAGGCTGAGAGCACAGGGGAGCACCTTTGGCCCCCGTGGAGGAACACGCATTCCCTCCATCACTCTGAGAGTGTGTGAAGAGCGCTTGCGTCGGGAGGTGTTCGGTAGGGAAACTTGGCTCTTGGTGAACATCTTGAAAAATGACAGCTCTCGTGAAGGTGTAAGAAATGAATGACTCGGCGTGTGAAAGATGAACCAGCTTGTACACACCTGTGTGTTTGTCTACAAAAGACACACTGCTAAGATCTATAGATGAGACCTTGTGGCTTCTGTATGTAAACTCTTTATATTCACAGTACTTCATATTGATTCAGATGCAAATCACATGCCTAATGTCGTTATTCATTAAATAAAAAACATTTTAGTTTTAGATAAAATAGCTGAAATAATGACAAACTGAAATAAAAAAAACAAGTAAAAATTCAATATTAATATATACAATAATAATATACAGAAATAATACTAAAATAGCACTGCACAAGTCATTCTTGTTTACATGCTTTGAGATTTTTTTTTTATTGATGAACGCAAGCAATAATTATATAAAAAGGAAACAAAACATCTTTAAAAGTAATGACAAATTATTATAATTATTCATAGTTCATATTTTAGTTAAAATGGTCACAATTCTGCCAGCCGTGTTTCAGCCAGTCACAGGGAGCAGTATGACATCACAGGCAACAGGTTTTAAAATGACACACAAGACAGATTACAATTTAATAAACTGATCACATATATTCTGCCTTTTTTGTCTGTTTGTTTTTTTACAATAAGAATGTTTACAAAAAAACAAAGGTTTACGTTAAATAATTTTAAAAATCTGCTATAAATTAAAGTGCCTTCATCCCTTTCCACTGAATAAAGTACATTCTACATAGTTGTCTCTCTTTATATATATATATATAATTTAAAAAAAAAGATCCACTTTGGTTTGCTTGCAAACATAGCATGTGCACTTTTACGAAACAAAACTTTTGGGATGCAAAAACCATTCACAATAAACCTACTGAACAACTTAAATCAACACATACAGTACATAGAAACACATTCAGGCTTAAAAAACTATCCTTTCTGCTGTTCAAATCTGTGTGTTGGTTTTTTAGTCACTGAAGTACCGTCCGTGTCCTGCTCAGTGGGGATTGTGTTGTCTTTGTAATGGAATTCCCTCAGACAAATCAATGCTCTTTTCATATGATAGATGCGATATGGCAAATGAGAAGTCAGGAGGCAGGCGGAGGGACAGGGCTACCGTCTTTTCTGATGTAGCCTGCACTGTGATCTTTCATCACTCGCTACGCCGAGGTCCCTCGAGCACCCCGCGGACCCATCCGTGACCTCCCTCACAAGCGAATGGATGAAGGAGAGGAAATGACAGAGGGAGAGAAAGCAGAATAACAGGAGGAGTGCTGCAAAAGCAGCTCGCGTCCTCCTTTTCTCCACGGCGCCGTCAGTAAACCTCTGCCCTCCAGTACCCCCCCCCCGAGGCCCTAAAGCAGCCTGTCACACGCTATCGTCTTCTTGTCAAGCAGCCAATCCACAGCAATGAAAACACAGACATTCGCCCTTCAAGTTTGGGATTTTTGGAAAGATTTCGGCCGTTTTTTTCCTGTGTAAATCAGCGCTTGGCCTTTAGAGATCAAAGTTTGAGCTGGCGCCCAACGTAGGGCAGACGGACGGCTGATGACCGCATATGCGGTGGCAGAGTTGGGGCACATGGGAACATGACAGAGGAAGTTGCTTTCAAATGAGATGTGCCTCTCTCACCACACGATCAAAACTTAGGTCTTTATTAGTGGAGTGGCACTGGGTGGTGCTTTGGGAGCAAAGGATGAAAAGGGAATGATGCAAGGGTACGTAAACACTAATCCCCACTATGAGGACAATGGTGCCATGGCTACTAGTGGTTGAAGAATGTTTACAATAAACAATCCCAGCATGCATCATTCATACCGTTAAAAGAACATCAAAATGACGTTAAGATATCGCAAACCTCACTGGCACTGGGTTTTTTTGAGTCATTTCCACGAGCACTTTAGTTACAGCCATAAATCGGACCGTAACGGGCTCAGCTGTCGACTCCGATAACTGGTGCTCGACAGCTGCGGATAGCTTTAGATATGGCAGTTACTGTGCCGCGCAAATTATAGGGGGAAACTGCAACTTAACCACCATCGTTTTCCCTTCTGTAGAGGCGAGGTGTGTCGGCACAGGTGGGCGTATTATCAGCTGAGCCTGCTATTTGTGGTTAGTGCAGCTCCCTTTGCTGCCATGGAAGGACACCTTGGCTTTTAGAGCTGTCTGGCTAGTGGCAAGCGCTGACAAATAACCCAGACTGTTTGACTCTAAAAGGGGTCAAGAGCTTTTGGCGCTCTCCCCACCACAAAAATAAACCCAAAAAAGGACGGATGGTAATTAACAATGGTCCTGTTTTCACTCTAACTGCGCTCTTTAACTCTCCACGCCGCAGCTAAAGCAGAGAGAAAAAGAGTGAGGAAGATAGACAGAAAGAGGCTGGTTGCCGGTCAGTCCTCTCCTTCTCCTTGGCGTTGGGAGAGCATCCGTGCGAGAAGAGGAGCTATCCTGGGTTGTTTTTCTTTCTTTTGTTTGGGCTGAGAGTGGGCTCCACTTTCAGCTCTCGGTACTGCACCTGTTAAAACACACACAAGCACACACATGGTCAGGTGGGTGGATTGATAGCAGGGGATGGTCATGAGGATAAGAAGCTTCTGAGAAGGGCTCGGTCAAACACAACAGAGGTTGCAATGATGGAGAGCAGAGCTGTGCTGTCACACTAAAGGCTCAAGTTAACTATTTACTGGAATCCTACATACTCACAGCCACATATGACTTAAAGGCATATTACATTTGCCATAATTTAGACCGCTCACGTGTTGGTGATGCTCCCAGAATTGACCGAGCTCAGAATAGCCCAAGCAATAATATATGTTGATTTTACACAACCGTTCAAAAGTCTGGGGTCAGTACTATTTATGGATTGAATGCTTGATTGATGCATATCATTGCTCTTTTGTTGATTTTGATTGCTTCCATTGTCCTCATTTGTAAGTTGCTTTGGATAAAAACATCTGCTAAATGTCTAAATGTAAATGTAAATGCATTAAATTGATCAAAAGTGACAGTAAAGACATTAATAAAAATAAATAAAAAATCAGCTTCAAATAAATGCTGCTCTGAAAATGTATTAGAATAAGAAACACCTATTTTAGATTATAATATTTCACAATATTTGATTAAATAAACTCACTTTTTAAAAACTTTTTTTAAATCCACCAACCACAATTTTTGAATAGTCAAACGTATAAAAAGCAGTTTATTAAACACCTTGATTTTTAATTATATAATGTACTATTTAACCCAAAATGTGAGTGCTATGTGTATGCATATTACACTATACAGTTGTTGAGCTCACATTGCTTGTATTAAATCAACTGAGCATAAAGTGCACTATGTGTACAACACAGAGAGTTGCAATCTATATAGTGTGTTCCAAATAACTCTTATGGTTCCTTTCCAGTTAGGATGATGTCTTAAAAGGCAGCTTACTAGGTTTTGGAACAGAGCAGGAAGGGGAAGCATATCGGCTCAAAATTCACAGGGTTGTCACCATACTAGTATTCACTTCCAGACAAATAAGACAGCAACAGTCAAGCGCCTCGGAGTGAAACAGTCAGATCACTGGTTTTCCCTCAGATCTGGCCCTCAAACTGACTGACGTCATGTTTAGACTCACTAAGAAATGTGGTCCATGTACTGCCAACTCGACAGAAACATCAGTCACCACCTACACTGAGAAGTGTGTCCATCTCACAGCCATCCATCTTGTAGGTGTGAGACTGGGTTTGTCTGTGCCACATTCAAACATTGCCGCAGTAGCTGAGCTCACATCAGATGTGATCCACAAAGGACGTTAGTGATGTAGTTTTGAAGTAACGAGGAGTTGGTCTGCTTTGTAGTTTGCATGCATCTTTTCATCAAAACACAGGTTTAAATGTAAGCATGGAAAACTGACCAAATTAATTCATAATAAATTACAGTTAGAAGCACACTATCCATTCATGTTTTCCTTTATTTTCTTTTGTTTGCAGATTTTGTTATGTTTTTGAAAGAAGGCAAGGCTGCATTTATTTGATCAAACACAGTAAAACAGTAATATTGTGAAATATTATTACAATTTCAATTAACTGTTTTCTATTTTAATATATTTTAAAATTGTAATTTATTCCTGTGATGCAAAGCTGAATTTTCAGCATCATTACTCCAGTCTTCAGTGTCACATGATCCTTCAGAAATCATTGTAATATACTGATTTGCTGCTCAAGAAACATTTCTTATTACTATCAATGTTGAAAACATAAGATTTTGATTATTACAGTTTAAAAGAACAGCATTTTGTAACATTATAAAAGTTGTCACTGTCATTTTTTATTAATTTAATGCATCTTTGCTGAATACAGGTATTAATTTCCTTCAAAAAGTATTCATAATATTCATTTATATTAAATAAAAAAATAATTATTTAAATGTACACTAAAGAATTCTAGGCTCTCTATTGACATCTGTGCTTGAAACAAAACATTGTTAGTTATTTGCAGAGGAACATCTTTCTACAGTTGTTAATGTACTCTGCCAATAATTCATTTCAAACTAAAAATTAAAATTGTCTGCAGTGTATAAAAAATAACGCAATAAAAAATAATACAATTAGCCATGCTCCCTAACGAGAATGTAATACATTTGCAATATCCAAAAACATCTGATATATATGCGATTAATCTGATTAATTAAATTAATCAGCACTTAATTTAATGCATTCAATTATAAAAAAGCAATAAGAGTAAATTAAATTTTAGTCCATTTAAAACTGGCAGCCCTAATAAATACTAATTCAATGTTGACAATAGGGGCCATAGCTGCAGCTAGATGAATTCTGGAGGATTTCAGAGCGGCCTGGCATTCGTCATCTTCAAAGCACGCTTTAAACTGCAGCCTAACAGGGTCATTATTTTCATATTCACTTTAAACACATCAGGGTCGCATCTGACTTCAGAAGCCTTCCTTGAACTGCATGTAAACAAAAGTTTACGTGTCAAGGTGAGGCAATGAAGATCGACATTAGTGAATCTAATGGAAGAAAAGAAATGAAGGCAAACAACAATAAAGGCTCAATCAAAAGTAGCGCTACAAAGAGCATGTGACACGTCAGAGGCTCTATTACACTTAACTGCTGACAGTTATGCCACCCTGTATGGTGCAACAAGCACTGCAGCTTTAATGACAGAGAGCTGTCCCACCCAAGATAACACAGCGCACCAGTTACAGTCAAAGCAGCATGCGGAAAAAGTAAAAAAAAAGGGGAATTTTAGTAAAAAAAAACTTTAGTAGATGGAATAAGGGGGGTTAAAAGTGACTACGGTGAGATAGCAATTTGGAGCAAGTGTCAAGCACAAAGAGAACATGCGTGGAGATGATGGGTAAAGACCTTCCGCTGCTCAAAGGCTGCTCCATACTCGCTCCGCTCCTCCATGTTGACAGTTGCACTACAAAACACACTTTGAAGTGTGCTCTCGTGGAGGGGGCGCCAAGCGCACCAGCGCCTCGTTTAGCGGTGTCAGACGCCGTCCCGGGACCTGCCGCAGCCGAGTATGCCATGTCGTCCCGCTGCTAAGCGTGGATCGGGGTTTGAAGCCACATGGGTGGCAGGCAAATACAAATAAGTAAATGAAAGCTGAACATTTTTAATGAAACTATGCTATGCTGTTTATAGAGGAGCAGAGAAATCTCGCCTACTTCATCTCCAGTGACACCTAACCTTGCATTAGGGGCATTAAATGGTCCTGTAGAAGAAAAAATGGGCTCACAGACGCCCACAGGCAAGCTCACATCCATTGTTGAGAAAAGAATAAAAGTGTTTCGAGGTGAATAGAGAGGGAAAAGGCACTGAGGAAAGTTTCTCCTAACTTTTTTTTTTTCTGAGGTAAGGTGCTCACTAATTGCTTGTTTAAACTCTGAATAGAAACCCCTGGTGCAGCAAAGACAGGCCTTCGATATGCACGACTGAGAAAAGATTCAGCACCTGGGCCGACAGGACATGTTCTCTCCTCAGACACAAAAAAATGATTGGGACAGCTATGGGAGGGATCACAAATTTGCCAAATAATTAAACATGTTATTTGACTGTTTTGATAAATAAACAACGTATGGCTCTGATATCTGAACTGTGGTACTAGCAAGTCATGATTTTAAAATAATTTTAATGAAATCTCTTATGCTCACCTAGGCTGCATTTATTTGATCAAAAATACACTAAAAACAAAAATATTGAAATATTATTAGGATTTAAAATAACTATATATATATATATATATATATATATATATATATATATATATATATATATACACACAAAACAAAAATATAAACA